GTCAAAAGGCCCCGCCAAGATTCCAAGTCCGAATCAAAATCAGACTCTCATGAAGCCCAGACACCACTAAAGTCACGGTTGGACCTCTGGGCAGAGCAAGGCCACGTTGCAAACACTTTCAAGTTGCTCCATCGACTACTGAAGCACATCGAGAACGCAGCTGAGAACGAAGCCAGCCAAGGCAACCCAAAGTTCCTTCTAAGACAGCTCAGAAAGACTAGTGAGGAAGTGGACGTAATTAGATCCACGAAGTTTGGTCATTTAACCGTTGATCTCATCTCACCGAGGATGATAAATGAACTCAAAGCTGCTGGTAAGAAGGAGGACGACGACAACGACGACGACGAGGAAGAGGAAGAGGACGACGACGACGACGACGACGACGACGACTACGACGACTACGAGGAAGAGGAGGAGGAGGAGAAGCAGGGCGAGGCTCAAGTTGAGGAGAATAGGCAGGATGAGGAAGAGAGCAAGGAATGGAACAAGGGCCAGGGCGAGGACTACGCTAAGGTCAGAGATGAGAGGCTACGCAACTGGCTAGCAGATACTCAAGAGTATTAGCATCACCTCATAGAGGAGTCTTGGCTGGTATTGGTGGCGTTGGTGGTCTTGTCATTGTAATTACAAAGTCTCTATTCCAATGAGTACTTACACCGTGTGCATTCTGCCGTGATAATTTATGTTACACCCTCTCTTGTTGCACTTTATCTCGCCCAGCCCGGTGATGAAAAAAGAATTTTCGGAGTTTCTATCCTAAGACTCCATAAGCGGACAGTTAACAGCTACGTGAGATCGATGTCGCGGTGCAAGTCCAGTGGTGCCATGAACTAGTTGTGTGAGGACCACTTAACTAAACGACCGCAAAATAGGTGTAAAGGTAGGTAGGTATGTATGTATGAAGCTCAGTGTATGACTAGGCCCCTGGCAATCGATCTGCATACTTGAACAAGGCAATCAAGGGAGAAATCGTATCTAGGAAGTGAAACTGGATAGCCATTTAATATTTAGAAAATAGATCACGAAGAGCGAATTACAGGACCTCTGCGAATAGCTTCGAGGAGGACAAAATTATTGCGGGCCAATTAGTACAGTAATGAGAAAAGGGAATCAGGAGGGAGGGGGGGGGGGGGGGGGGGCAAAGAGAAATGGGAACGGGTTGCCCGGCACTGAGGTTTGAGACGGCAGGTTACTGGCCGGGAAAATCTCGGAAAAGGGGACCTACCAAAGTAAAGGTTAAGTATCCTAATAGTACAATAGTTTTTCACAAATGCCAGGGTGGGCTAATTGAGCAGCCGCTCATCGGTGATGCCGCTTAGGTGCTTCTGGATGTTTAGCTCAACTTGGTGCAGTCAAGTTCATAACCAGATAGTGTATTGAAAAATATGCGAGGTAAAGAGACGGCTAAGAGTCCACTTGGGCACAAAACAGATGAGAGATCACTGGAGAGAGACGTCGGTTCGAACCCGGCCCCTGGCATATTATCGAGGCCTCAAATTTTTTTTTTCCTTTCTCAACCAACTTGCTAATATTAAAACAATACAATTTTACATTCTTGCAATGCTATTCAGTGATGCATGATAAATACTGTCTGTCCCTTTTCATTTAATCCCCAACTTTATGTTTCTCACCATCTGCATACAATGCACAAACCTACCCACGACCAGCAGATCCTCATCCAACCACGCTCAGGTTTTTCAAAATCTTGGTAGCTACAATACGATGCAAATAACAATTTCAAAATAATCTGATGTCCTCGTTGTATTTCTTGTTGCTACCATTGTAATACTTAGACTTGTAGTCTATCTTTCACCATATCACCACAACATTCTTCGCGATTAAAGACATCAAAATACCCCCCAAAGATCCGGGAACCTGGAAGTTTCTTCTTTTGATCCCTTTTTTTATAGAACAACTAAATGATTGTTTTAGGATCTTAATGCACTTTCAACGAAGGCATCTAGAGATTGATAATAAACCTGTGCATCCCCTTAAAATATGTCACTGGAACGCAGCTCTACAACCTCTACACCTGTTGCATATTTGCTTTCTCAAAATTTCCAACTCCTTTATTGAGCCATTCCAACCATTGTTCGTATGAAGTATCCGGTACATCCGCAATGCCTACGGAAATATGCTTCGGCCGCCCTTCCAGAAACCAACAATATCTGGGAGTACCGAGCAGCGCGGCATAAACTACCAAGAACATGAGAGCATATTCTCGCGCAAGTAGTGCATGAAGCCGTCCTTCACGGTGTATATCTAACTACATATATCATGATAACTTGAAACTGGCCGATTATGATGTTTTTAGGGCAGCAGATGTTCTGTAGGTCTCTTCAAATCATCACGTTGGACATTGAAACGCCCCGTTATAAGTATCTCGATCTGAGGCAGCGGTCGTGGTGGAAATGAGCGTCGATACCTCGAGAAAAGGGTCTCCCCACCATACAAATTCAAGCTGGCATCCTACCAGTGCCGATGGCTACTCACACGCTAATGGCGGTGAGTACGAAGGAGCTAGGATCCCCGAGAAACTAGACTTGAAACCGATACTCTCAACAAGAAGTCGGACTCCTCGCTAGAGACCTAGCCAGGGCGGGCACATCATAACCGTCGTCAATGATTAAGAGATGGCGGAGTAATTTTCGTAACTTGACGGACATCAATTATGAAAACGTTATTCGCAATCTTTTTTGAAATATTCTAACCTATCTAGCTACTCTCAGGGAGGCCAGGTCAGTATTCTAGCTCAATATTACCCCACGAATCATGATGGTATTATTATCTCTCTAGCGCCAGGGCTGTGGTGGGAGGAGCTGATGGTGACCGCAATCTGGCCGGCTGCACTCTTCGTTACAATAAGGACGCCGTGAACAAAGTCAATGCTACTTCTGAGTTCTATCGTTACTATCGTGTTCCAGGGCGAGAGCATCGAGACGCCGGGGGCTAGTTTGTGGTTCTGTTGAATCAGGTACGAGCGTAGGTCGAGAATGGAACAGCACCTAACTTGACTCTCGTTAAGATCTGAGAGATAAGATTCAATGCTTGTACCCTAGAAGGGCGTCTTTCCACGAGCGTGCTCTAATTTGAAAACAGCGGCTGGGTGTTGGTGGCGCATTAAAAAGTATTCATTGTATGAAATAGGGGGTAATTAATAATGTATGTGGGGTCGAATGTATTTCGTAAATTGAAGAAACTTTACGTCATCAATCCGATAATGAGATTAGATTTAATCTATATGAGAAGGCCACATCAAAACGGATTGGCCAAACTATCCGGGATGAACTCAAGCCGGGAGAACTGAAGACATCTGATGTTGATTCTCGGCCGGAACGGGAGACTCATGAAGCTTACATGCATTTAACCCAGCTAAACTAACTGGTTTAAGTAAATTTTTAAAGCTCCACAATTCGCATACGCAGATTCTGTGAGTGTTGGTTGTAATTGAGATTGAGATTGAACCTTGCGTCCGTTCCGCCATCTCCAATTCTAGAATTGTCTTTTAAATTCCAAACATATCAGCACATCCGATTGAAAAGTCTACACCGAATAAGAAAAAGAAACAGCAATGCCTCTTAAGACAGTCTTGATTACCGGTTGCGGGCCGGGAGGCATCGGCTCGGCCCTAGCGACCGAGTTCCACATGCGGGGCCACCGGGTCTTCGCCACGGATATCTCCTCGGCGCATCTCGCGCATCTCCGGGACCGCGGCATCGAGACCCTGGCCCTGGACGTGACGTCGCAGCCGTCGGTCGACGAGGCCGCCGCGCGCGTCTCGGAGCTGACGGGCGGCAGGCTGGACATCCTCGTCAACAACGCGGGCGTGCTGCACGCGATGCCGTTCGCCGACACCGACGTGGCCGCCGCGCGCCGCCTCTTCGACGTCAACGTGCTGGGCGTGATCGCCGTGACCAGGGCCTTCCTGCCGCTCTTACTGGCGGCCGCGAAGAAGAAGCGGGACGGCAAGGGGGACGATGCGATAGTGGCCAACCTCGGCAGCGTCAACAGCGAGATCCGGCCGCCCTTCTTCGGCATCTACAACGCGTCCAAGGCCGCCGTCGAGGTCCTCGGCGCTAGCATCCGCCCCGAGCTGGCGCCCTTCGGGGTCCGCGTCGTCACGGTCAAGACCGGCTGCGTCAGCACCGGGCTGTTCCGCCACGCGCCGCCGACGAAGCTGCCCGAGGACAGCCTGTACCGGCCGGCCAAGGAGTTCATCGAGGGCCGCGGGATGCTGGACAAGGTCTCGTACGCGGAGCCCGGGGCGTACGCGAAGAAGGTGGTGGACGAGCTGCTGAGGCCTTCGGTCAAGCACGTCATCTGGCAAGGCGGCCTGACCACGTTCGCGTGGATCTTGAGCTGGTTCGGGTGGGAGGGGATGATGGTGAGTCGCAGCCTGTCTGTTATCGATACTCGGCTAACGCGACCTAGGATGGTATTTACATTCGAGAAAACATGTTGGACAAGTGCGCTACGTAGTACATGAAGCCATCGGAAGCTATCGCTACATAGTTTGAGGCATTGGACTAAGTAATATATACTAAGATAAATCACTTTGCTCCCACGGAAGACCTGCGAAGACTCTTTATGAGGCATTAGTGGTTTAGTGGTAAAATCCATCGTTGCCATCGATGGGCCCCGCGTTCGATTCGCGGCTAATGCAATTCTTTACCTTTTTTTATTTCTTTTTTGTCATGGTGTATTGTCGAAATTTGCAGAATACTAGGGTGTCAAGGCAGTAGATGGCTGGTGTAGACGGAGTAAAAGAGGCAAATAAGCCAACAAATTTTTTCATGGTGGATGATTACTAAGCACAACCGCATCTCAGGGACCCCTCCCAGCGCATTACATACATCGACGACTCTGACAGTAAAATTGTGGATTTTGCAAAATGTTCAGAATGTTATTATTACATGGGATTGCAATGCATTTCAGCAACTTTAAATCCCACTTGAAGACCTTAGAGTGACCGACATTTTGAATAAAATTGCAAAATGATGGGGTTTGGCCGGGGATCGAACCCGGGACCTCTCGCATAAGTGCACATATCATTAATGACATAGATGCTGGAACTTCGGGTGTTACCCTAAGCGAGAATCATACCACTAGACCACCAAACCCTTTGGGGGGGAATTCTGACCCAGTCGATGACAGAACGTTGTTAGATGGGTCTATACGGATGCGAGATGTCTCTGTGGGGTAAAGGCCGAGTCGAGCCAGTCAGACTTGAGACCGTTATGTCCGAGCGAGAGCCCTACCCACGCGACGGAGTCCGTGATAGCGCCCGGGTGTCCGAATATTGTTATGCTTGCTCTTGAATTTGTCAACGCCCATCCCCAACTGCTGTCATGAATCTGCATACCAAATAAGTTCAAAAAGTTTATCCTCAGATGGAGAAAGACATTTTCTTTGATCTTTGTTGTCCTACATCCCAGCACTGAGAATCCTACGGATGGGAGCGGGTGTTTGAGATGTGGCTTGCGCCCGCGTCCTACTGTGGCTGACCTCCCTCGGACATAAGATTCTCGTGACGCGAATCTAATCTAATCTGACGAGAATCTCACTCCGTGTGTTGAAACACAACCGACCTCCTTCGCTCGCGCTCATGAACGAGGCACCGTCGTAATCTCTCCGAACCAGGAATCTTAGCTGTGTGCCCAATCCGGCCAAAGCCGCAGCGACAACAGGGAACAAGCTCGAGAACCCGAGCCTTGTTTGTATACAAGTTACACAGCACCCTCACCCCCCGCAACATGAGCTGGCCGTGGGAGATCTACGCGCTCGACGCGGCGGAGAAGCAGGCCCGGCGCCGCTCGCTCGACCGGCACGCCGCGTACGCGCAGTTGTCCGTGCTGGCCCCCATCGCCGCCTTCGTGCTCTACCGGCTCGCATCGTGGCTGGCGACACGGTTCTCGGCCCCGCGCGAGGCGGACTATCTCGCCGTGCCGAACTCGCCGGCGCTGAAGCAGCGGAGGCGGAGCGTGGTCGGCTCTTGGACTGCCGCGGCGAGGAAGGTCGCGTGGTGGCTCGGAGATGAGGTGGTCTTCCTCGGCGTGAATTGGGGCCCGAGGGATCAGATACTTGCTGGTGTTGGCTGGACTGTGTGGCTTGTGTTTTTATGTGTGGTTGGCACGGGAAAAGGTCAGTCTGCGCATTTGCTCGTCAGTCGACTTCATCCCATCTCCGTTGTGGCAAGTCGCTGCTAAGAGTACTTGACTCAAGATTTAAGCGTGGAGACGCTGATTTTATCTAGACTATCTTCACTTGACGAAGCGATTTGGGATGGTCGCACTGTCACAGCTTCCCGTGCAGTACTTGCTGGCGTTAAAGAGCATAAACCCCATCGCCTTCGCACTCGGTTCCTCTCACGAGCAAGTGAATCGCTGGCATCGCGTGCTTGGCTGGGTTATCTATTTCCTGCTCTTTGCGCATGCATGCCTGTATCTAAACTTCTACGTCCACGAGGGCATCCTAGCCGAACGACTCGTCCGTCTAGTTCCAGCCCTTGGTCTTGCTGGGTTCATCGGCATGAGTTTCATGAACACCACAGCTCTAAGAGTCATCCGTCAGTACTCTTACAGAATCTTCTTCATCACGCATGTTATGGTAGCCATGCTTCTTCCGCCAGCGATTTTCTTCCATTCCCATCACGGCGGTCGCCAATATGTGGTAGAGGCGCTTCTGGTCTTCCTTATCGATCTCGTTAAGCGCAAGATCGATACCATCACAGCTCCGGCGACTCTGGAAACAATCCCCGGTACGAGTCTCATTAAGATTGTAACTAACATCCCTTCCAAGAAGGTCGACCGCTTCCGCAAATATGCCGGAATGCACGTATACCTCAGTATTCCATCTGCCGCCCGCCGTAGTGCTTCGGCCGCATTCCTTCTCTTCGAGTTCGCGTTCAATCCGTTTACTATTGCCTCAATGGACGATGAATCGGGGGATTTGACTCTAGTTGCTCGACGTCAGAAAGGACCTATGACGAGGACCTTGGCCCAATACGCGGAAGACGGCTTGACCGGGATCAAGGTACCTCTTAGCATTGAAGGACCCTACGGGTGCGTGAGTCATTTCCCAAACTTGGCTGGCCCCGAATTCGATCGGGTTCTACTAGTAGCTGGCGGCGTTGGCGCGACGTTCATTTTACCCCTCTATCGGTACGTTTTTCTCCGGTTTTCTTTTGAGGGTTTCCCAAGACATTAACCAGGGCGCAGTGAGTAACTAACGTTTTAATCATCTACCCCTACCTCCCATGACCACCCCATGTTCACGTACTTTGGGCATTGCCTGTTTACGAGCTGTTTACGAAATACGACCAGGCACAGCCTGACTCGTCGCTGTTGTATACTAACCTCTGATAGGAATGATCGTGAATGAGAGTGCAGTAGCCCGGGTGCAAATGGTATGGGCGGTGCGCGGAGCCGGTGATGCCACTTGGCCTGTCTCTGGTACAGCAGGAGGCATTCTAGACGACGAAAATATTCATCTGTTCCTTACAGGAGACATCTTCGCAGACCCGGACGTAGTCGCCAGCTCAAACAACGAGGACGATGCCGTCGAATTAAGCAGCAACATACATACCGGGCCGGGGCATAGCCACGGACGACCAGATCTACGGAAGATTATAGATGACATATTCAGGCAAGGGGTAGAAGACCGAGTAGCTGTGCTAGTCTGCGGACCGGAAGACATGGCGCGCGAGTTACGATCCTACGTCAGGTTTTGGGTCATGAAGGGTCGAAACGTCTGGTGGCATAACGAGAGCTTCGCGTGGTAATTAGTCAAAAAAATTGGTTTTTCTTAGGAGATAATTAACGCTGGATGCTGGCGATTGGGGACTCAAACGGAACTTCCCTGCCTCTTGGCAATGCAGGAACGGACGCGCTACACCGACATGACCCTGGTAATATGTCGCCGACTTATTAATCATGGAATCCTGTGATCACTGTCGCATGCATGTAGGTTATGCATAATCGTCGGCATCCGCTGGGTGGGTTGGCGGTACTGAATATTTTGGCATATGGAATCATCACCATGCCGTCGCCAAGCTTCAACCGTTTACAGCCTATATTCGCTGTTGGCATCGCCAAGAAGAGATGCCAAGAAGCGATTGCTGGGTTGAACGATTTGATGGCGACGAGCGGTGGCGTTGATTTGCTTACGTATTTCCTTCGGGCGGTGCACCCCTGCATGCTTTGTCTAGGGTTTTGTCAAGGGCAGCTACATAGGCTACATAGGGATCTTATCAAGTGGAGAGGAGGACGATCTCGGCCCCTAGGGCATAGGTAGTTAGAGCTACAAGTCATCCGTCTGCAGGTCTAGCAATGTTGTTGACAAAGGCTTGCGACAGCATCCAGCATCTAAGCCCCTTGTCTAATCTCCCTGGCCTTATAAATCTACCAAACAGCATGATTAAGGCTACTAACAAATTACATCCTTCTCCACTGGTTCTGGTTCTTCGATCTGGTTCTTCAACCCGAATCCACCAACTGCGCCTGCTATCGTCGGTTGTTCAGGGTACCCGCCCGTGTTTCGCAATATCTTCTCTACTTCCCAGTAGGACTATCAATTGGTAAGCAAGGAAATAGCTTTCTCGCCCATCATTTCAACGGCCCGAACCTACGGGTCTCGATGGATGCTAGCTGCCCGATCTTGTTCTTAGAGCCGGCATTAAAAATGCGCTGTGGACCCCCTAAAATAAATCCAACTTTTTCGAAGTCCCAGATCCTTGTAAGAAACGCCATCAAGCTCGCGACAGCTCACCGCGGTCCCGTAATGAGGGGAAAAAACAGAAGAATAGAGGCGAATTTCGCCGAGACATTAAGCTTCTGCTCTAACGCAGCTAAACTGGAAGCCTCTACCAGCAGTATGGAGTGGGATAATTGTGTACCTTTGCTTCCTAAAGAGGGATGAAGCCATGCTTGGCAATGATGACCGTCGTCGAGTTTGTGGATGTAAGGAATTCCTATAAGATGGAGAGACTTCTTTTCCCGACTTCTCCAGCACCGCATCCCTTAGATCCCAGGTTTCGAGCTGTTACCATTGCCCTCCCAAGCACGTCACTTGCTTCACGATAGTTCAAGATGCGTTCCGTTCTGCCGTTCTATCTGCTAGGGGGAGCCCTAGCGGCCCGTCCATTCTTGAACGAGCCGGATACCGGGTATTGCTTCATCATCGACTACCGAAGAGAGTAGGAAGCTAACAGGATATAAGTTTCGATGCCGTTTTCGCCGACCTACCAGCTGGAGAACTGCCGCCGCTAGAGAAGCTGGTCGGTCTACCGGATTTCGATGCAGCGGCGCGGAGGCATCTTCCCGTTATGAATTACACCTACTATCGCAACGGCGCCGCGGGAGAATGGTCGTACCGAAACAACCTCGAGGTGTATAACCGTTACGCGCTTCGTCCTAGGACCATGGTCGATATCACGAATATCGAGTCAACACTCCCGTACGCTGGCTCACCTGTCCCCGTTTTCGATTATGGTTCATCGTTAACACATGTATAGGACGACAATTTTGGGCCACAACTTCTCAGCGCCGTTCTTCATTAGCCCCTGTGCCCGAGGCGAATACGGCCACATCGATGGAGAGAAGGGGCTCGTCGAGGGCGCAGCGGCAGGAGACATCCTATACATGGTACGTGACTTGAATCCGCCCATTACTTCTCGTTCCCCTAGGCGAGTGTCGGCACTAATATCCATGTCTCGTCCAGCCCTCGCTGCTAGCCAGTTTGTCGATCGAAGAAATTGCCACGTTCAAGGCGGAGGACCAGGTCACTTTCCAGCAAGTGTATCTCGATTCGAACGACACGTCTACGCAGATAATCTTCGACCGCGCCTCGAAGTCCGGGGCCAAGGCCCTTGTCTTTACCATAGACTCGGCCGCCGACGGAAACCGTCACCGTGCTGCCCGTTACGGCGTCGGCTCTGCGTAAGTTCTCTGAACTGCGAGTACCATCTAGCCTGAGCTAACGCATCTTCTAGTGACTCCTCGTATACGCTCATCACCGTAAGCTTTTCCCTAGACTACCTACCCATTACTTGAGTAGGTTCGTTGCAGACCGGGGAACTAACAGAGCTTGTAGTGGGATCTGTATGAACATCTCACGACCATGA